GTCTATGCCATCATATATGTTGTAGGCTTTCAAACATAACATTTTGTTTCACTTTAAAAACAGGGCGAAATCTTACCAAAGCCACGTGGATCTGAGTTTCCATTGTGATAGGACTGGCTCTCATCGGCCTCAGAGCCCCAGTTACTGAAAGACAGAGGGAGGAATACAAAAATGGTAAGAAAAGAAAAGTACAAAGGAGGAAGGAGACAAAAAGGTAGGGTAGAGCCTTACTGTGTCAACTCAATGGTGGCTCTTCTTGAAAAAGTCCACGCCGTCTTTTCCTTCACCTCAGTAGGAATCTCCTTTTTGTCCTCGAAGCCCAAGAAGAAGAGAGAGAAACGCATGGAGGGGAAGTCAAACTTTTGCAGGAGCCTGGAAGAGTGAGAGAGTTTTTTAGGAATCGTGTGTTTAAAGTGGATATAAGTCAAGTCAACACTTAAAAACTAGTACTCACGTCATGCCAAGGATTCTGGTGTAAAAGTCCAACGATTTAACTGGATCTTTGACTCGCAGCATGGTCTGCTGCATCATGAAATCCTGAAACACAATACCAGAGCTTTACATACACAGAACACTGGAAGTCAAGATATGTGCAGCACTAACAAATAATAACCACGACTGATGCAGAAAAATAAATGCATACTGATTTTAATATTATTTGCATTATTATATTTCAGTGGGTTTTCTTTAAATCTTATACTTTTCATTCTATATTCTCTTTCATCTTAATATTTATTTTATTTTTATATTTGATTTGATACATTTATTGACCTCAAATAGTAAGACAGCTGGTATTTTACTTGTGTTTTTATTTAATGTTATTTAAATTAAGACTTGTGCTTTATTTATTATATTAAAGGGTACTGTACGAATCAAGTCTTCATTGTTAATATTAATATGATATTATTAATAACCATTGTAAAAATGCATGGTCACTTGTTTTCCTGGTATGCAAAAAAATCTCACAAATACAGCGTGTACCTAGTGTATGTGAATTGAAGTGTGTTTGAAATAAAATACAAAAACACTTAAAATATATTAAAGATTTTGTTTTACTTGGTTTCGGCTACAGCAATAGTTACAGATGTGAAATATGAAGCAGTGTAGCATTTTAAATATTTTTTTGTAACAGACAAATGTTCACAACAACTATGTTTGAAGGGTAGAAGATTCCTTTGCTGTGTCTGAGTGCAAGCAGGGGAACATTTGTATCCTGGCACTGAGTCGTGAAGAAAGACATCAGCCAAACTGCACCTCTGTGCAACTGAGCTGTGAGCTTCACCTCGTGAAAAAATATACTAGAACGATCAGGACTGCTTGGACAAAACACATTTACTTCCTAGTTTTCAATGCAAAAACATGCAAAGACAGTGATGACGTAGGATGATATTCAATGCAAAAGCAAGTGGTGAAAGACTGAAGTTTAAAAAAAGTGTTTTTTATATAAATTGTGCTTGTCCATGGATGTATGGCTGGTCAATATATTAATATTTTACTCATATGGAGAGTTCAGACTAGATATTGTGTTAGATTTTGGATATTGTTTGAACTTTTCCTGGTTTTAAGAGCTGCATTACACCAAATTGAAGTATTTTTCTGAACTCACCAGACCTGTAGCACTTGAATGTATTTTGATAGGCGAAATGCATCAAGAACTAGCACCAGACATATTATCTCATAATTTGCTGCATTCATGTTGCAATATTGGTGAGATCACTTTTCATTTTCATCCTAAAATATTTATGTGAAGAGCCATTCTACCAATGTGTGTGTGTGACTTCACAGTTGAGTGTTATCTCTGTGGTTAGCAGAGTTCCCTTTCCTGTGCTCTTCCTTCTACCGTGTCAAATTTTTTAAGTGAACACAAATATCAACACATCCATAGAAACCTCCCAAACACTGCCGTGGCGAAACCATTTACCCAGTAAACTAAATCCATATGTTTGAACAGTTATTTGTGTCACCTTTTAGCTAAATGCATTACTTCATGCAGACTTCAAAAGAACAAATAAGGGTTGATGGGTTGAAACAGAAGCAGTGCATTTAGCCATATTAAGGCACATTTAAGATTATGTGGAAAACTCTATAAATAGCAGAGAAGTGGATTGTGCTGCAAGAGGTTAACAAGGTTTCTCCAGTTGTTTGTCTATCCAGTTTAGAGTCTCTTATTTCTTACGTAAAATTCTAACAAATGTGAACTTTGATTCTGCTGGAATTGCCAGGGCTCATACTTGAACTGTAGACACATTCTTGAGTCTGTAAAGCAGTCTTTTTGAACAAAGGCTAGCAGAACAGAGGGAATCACTAGAGTCCGGCCAATTGGGGAGATATGGTGATGTTTATCCGTCCATCAGCAAGTAAAGATCCTTGTGTTACTGCAGTGGAGTAACTATCGATGGTGCAGCCGGTGCAACGCCCAGAGCCGGCAAGGGGCCCCATGCTAAAGATTTGTTTTTTTTGGGGGGTTTTTTATATATATTTTTTTTGGTGGGCCCCAATGGCATTGACCGGTTCACGCAGTCTTCAAAGTAACCAAGCAACCTAAATGTATCTGTAATTTCTCTGTCCAATGACCTTGCTCCCTCTCATGTCATGTTTAATCAACCTCAAAAGTTATAGGTACTGTAGCTAGCAGTAGCAATTTCGGCAGCATTATAAAAAATATAATAGCTTGCATTTATAATGTACAGCAAACCAAAGCACAAGAGCGGTGCTCAAAAGAGAAAGGACAAGAGAGAACAAGGAGATGTAACTGCTAAACTGACAAAATTAGACCGTTTTTGTGTCATACATCGTCCTCGAAATCTCTATTAATTCTGTAAAGTGATTGTGTGATTAGTTCGCTGTGCCGTTTTCCGGCTGTTGTTGATAGCTTACATGTGGCGCTTATGAGTGGTTGTGTGTGTCCGTGCGTGTGTGAGTGCATCAGCGTGTGATTATGTTTTGGGCGATGGGGGGGGGGCCCCAAAACAATATTTGCACCGGGGCCAATCACAACCTTGTTACGCCACTGTGTTACTGGGTATATACACAGTAGTGTCTATAGCTATAGCAGAATAATACAGGCAGCAGCATAGATGTAGTAACGTTTAATGGCTGGCATCAATAAAGGTATAGTCTAATGAATCCTTTCATTTATAAAATGTAAAAAAAGAAAATGTGGTCAAAAGAGGTCTGGTGTTTTGTTTCGTCATTCCAACAACCTAATTACATTTGGTGTAATTGTATAAAATCAAAGTAAGCAGGACATTTCCATTTGTATTAAGTATATTTTTTACAAATATGAATTGGCATTTTGTTTTTCAAATCTTTATGTTAAAAAGGGACTGAAAAATGTTTCTGCCGTTTGTACGATTGATCGATTATTAAAACAGTTGGCGATTTGTATTTATTGTCGATCAAGAGGGACATAGTCGACCAATTCCTGGTTGATCAAGTGTGTTGACATTTCCTTCAGTGTTAAAGAAAAAGTACTATCAAAACCAGTTTGATTGAAGTTGCATTGAATAAATATATACAAATATAAAAGATATAGGAACATTTTCTAGAAACAGATATATTGATTATTGCAAAGCACACTTTTTGGTTTGCCAGATAGACAGGTTATTGGTTATTAGTCCCTGCAGCGACACTGCACACATCAGCCAGCCCCAGACCCGCCTGCTCTTCGCCACAAGACAGTAATGCAAGTCCGGCCGCGCCTTAACGGCACCTTTCTTCAGAGATCTGGGAGATTTACTGTTCCTAACATACTTGTTGCTACGCATGCTAAATCACGTTCCAACTTCTGAGTTTCTTTCCACGCGAGAACAGTTTCTGAGCGTTAGCAAACGCCTGTAACAAAAACAACAAACACAGTTACCTGAAACGTAAATGTAGCAGTGACACTCACCGTGAGCATTAGCAATAATGTTACAGATAACCGGTTTACAATCCACCGGTCCGACACAAATGTTGGATGAAACGTATCTGTCCGATAATGGAGGCAATGTAAATAGCTGGTTTACCTATCTGCGAGTCGATGGCCTGTTGGGTTAGCTAGGTTTGACTGTCTGGTAGAAGTTTAGTTTAACTTCAACAGGGACGACAATTATCTTACCTTAGTAACCGGGTCTCCATCTTTGCAAGCTGCAGCCGCTGCCTCGTCTGAAAGACCTTTATCGCTCATTTTTGCTCAGAGACTGACTGTACAAAGTTGGACCGCAGCTCTGCAAAGCGGACTGACAGGGAGTGGGGCTCTGCTACTGACGGAAGATGAAGACAAGCAGCTTCCGGTAGAGGCCTTCAAAATAAAGGCATTGGAATGTACTAGCCACACGACCGCACCTGGCAGAGCATTGACGTCAAATAATTTAGACTGACTTGATAATTCATTGACCTATAGAATGTTCTTTAAATACAGTCATTTCTTATTAATTATACTTTTCATTCCTAGATTATTTTGAACATTTAGTGAGGATTTTATTATTTATTTTAATTGCTAAAGCATCCTGTCATGTTTTGAGGCTACACTTGTGAAATGCCATAAAATGGAGGTGCTTTCTTACACAGTGGTATAATTCATTTTGGTTCAGGATTATTTAGGAAAGTGCTAAACTTGGGACAACATAATTGGCCCCTTTTGCTCTGGACATTTGACGTGAGTTGATCAGAATCTTCCCACGTCAACTTTTATTTTGAAAATAAAGACAGGAAGTATCCATTTTTAACTTTTGGCACACCAGGCTCAGTATTATGAAATCAAGAAAGCTTGCTACAGAATGCATAATGTACAAACAATTACCTTGCATATCCCACTACATATACACGTACTAGTTTATTTGCACAATCATACACATTAAAATATAATAAAACTGTAATTACTCAGATTGTGAAGCACATTATGCTATAAACGATGTTACTCAATTACAAATGTACATTGTAACCCTTATATTGATTTAATTTAGCTAATATGATATAATGCATTAGTCCAAAACAAATATTCAAAACAAAAACAACAGTTTGCCATGTAAATTACTTTATTATAGACTAGAGTTATTTCATGGGAGTAGTAACAGAGAACTATATTACTGACTATTAACTATGAACAGTTTTCTTTCACTAGGCTGTGGTGGAACTGAGGACGTTTTATCAAGAGTTCCTGAGACTGTTTTGCTGCAAGAGACGGGACAAGACACTTAACCCAGATGGCAGTAGAGGGTATGCTTCTCAGGATTTCCTTCTTTCTTTCAAAAAGGGCCATTTATCTTTATAAGGGTTGACAAATACTTAAACCAAATACATCAGGGTTTTTCCTGACAGTACTAAGTAGGGAGTTATACAAAAATGTCAGTTTGAAAGGATAGTAAACATTTATAATTTTATAATCATCAATGTAGAAGCCTGAGAGCATGACAAACATTTTTTCCAATAACGGATTGTGAACAGTGCAGACCATTATCTTTTAAAACGGAATAAGAGTAAACTGTTCCTCTCACCTCCGCCTTCCTCCAGCTGCATTATAACATTGCCAACATGTGTTTAAAAACAAACAAAAAAACATATTCCCATTTGAAATACCACAGTCCCGTGGTCATACCCCTGTTACCCTATGCATTGACAAGAGATGAGAGGAAAAAGAAATAGATGAATAAAACGAAAGGAAAGCCCTTTTCACTGCGATGATCATCCTCGTGCTCCAGCAGAGCGGGGTTTAGTAGCTGCGTCCGAAAAGGGTGTAGTACTTGGCGGGCTCCTTCCCGCAGACACACTTCTGCCCTGGCTGCAGTGTCTTCAGGGGAGAGAAGGGGATGCAGAGGCTCTTGGCCCCCATGGACGGGGCCCCAGGCTCCAGGTCCTGGTCCCTACAGCACAAACATGTTGGGATTAAATATCTATGGAAGCCCAGAGGGGATCTAATAATGAAAATTATAAATAATCTAATTTGCATTTCTCACACTTGCTATGACCAAAATAAATTGTCATAGCATAATACTTTACTTTAAAGTATATTGAATGTATACAGTTGGCTTCCCTTGTCTTGTGTCTGTGTTTATTATATCTTACCTACATGAAACCAAAGTTTGGACTGATTAAATAAATGTTTTGGGACTATTTAGTACTTAGGGTTTGTTTAGCTTGAAGTGTTAGATATTTTGTAGCTCGTAAATGTTTCTGTAAAAAAACTGAACTCGCTCCTATTTTAGATTAGTTGGTTATGTATTGTAAAAACTTTCAGTATAGTGCCTAGGTGGACTGAATGATGTGACACTTATTATTGCATATCTATAAATTCATCTGTAAAGATAATGATATGCGTGACTTGGTTGTCTTTCGCTCCTTTACAAAGTGTGTGTAAAGCTTTAACTCTTCACATGTCAGAGAGCGTTATGTTGACAGTGTTGTGTTGGACGTACTTGGCAGTGGTTTTCTTGATCGAATCCTCGCAATCAATTTCCCCACAGAAGGGGATCTGGACAATCTGTGAAGCGAGATACATGTGTTATTCATTATTTAAACACGTAGAGGAGAGACAGTTACATATTTTTAGCTTTTGTTACTCACCTTGCCCTGCTCCAACATTTTCTGGAACTCTTCCATTGTGTCTGCAGCCACCATGTTGCTGTTCAGGTCATCTGACGCTCTGACAAACAAACAACACAGACTTGGTCAATCCTATTGTTTGTATATGGACGCCATGAAAGCATCTCTTCATTCTGCTGTCATTGTGTGGGTTCTCATTTCCAGCTGCATTTGTTACAGTCTCTGGGCATCATTTCAAATACAATGTTGCCCCCAGCTGGTTTGGATACAGGATGACTTTAAACGCTAAAATATATTTAAAAAATATATTTTCCTTTAGGCACTTGCACGACATATAATCTAAATTTGGCTCAAGTCTTAACAAAAGGTTCTTTACGTGCTGCTATTCTACAGACTTTAAAGAAAACCATTAACCATAAATACACATTTAAAATTAGATAAATTGTATGAATATTCTCATTCCTTCCAATGTCATAAATTAAAACCCAATTGCAATATCAGTCAAAATAATCACAATTATATATGTTTTTCAAAATGGTTAATAAGGGATAAGGGTATATTAAACCCAAAATTTGTCTAGTATAGTATGAATATAATCAGTTCATCCTTGTGCATAAATGGACATTTTTATCGCCAAATTTAATGAAATGACTTGCAGGCGTTCTTGAGATATCGCATTTATAAGAAAGATGCTGATGGACCACTTCAAAAATGTCCTTCTGTAGGTGAGACATTATAGAAAAGACCCTGGTGTGTAGTGCTGCATCTCACTTCTTGAACAGGCTGCTCTGGATGTCTTCCAACATGGCCACCAGCTTCTTCTCCACCTCGGCCTCTGGAATCGTCACCTTGGCGCCCGAGTCTCTCCTCACGGCGACACACTGACGCTGCTGCATGTCTTTAGGACCCACCTCCAGACGGATAGGAACACCCTGGAGGAGGGACACAGATTAAAACAGTGTGTCATTATAAAGCCTTTACAGCAATCACGTTATATTTCATATGTAGTCTAATATTAAATGTCAGAATTAGAATACCCTTATTTGTCCCACAGAGGGGAAATATGCATTGTTACAGCAAGTAAAGAGCCAAAGATAGCTTGATATTAATTAAGAATAAAAGATAAAAATAGAAACTACACAAATTACAATTAACAAATTACACATCTAGTAACAGTATTGTAAACAAATCTGTGTTGCATGTATGGAATAGTGTGATAGCATCCAGAAGATAATATTCAAAGTGGAATTATATATTGCACAGTTATTTACAGATTTATTACACAAGTTAAATTGTCTAATTAAGGGACAGCAGTGGGTAATAATAAGAATAATAAGAATTATGAAGCATCATATATATATATATATATATATTAGGGCCGGGACTCGATTAAAAAAATTAATCTAATTAATTACAGGCTCCCGGCCCTAATATATATATATATATATATATGATGCTTCATAATTCTTATTATTCTTATTATTNCAAACGGACAGCTGTTCGCGCTCCTGCCGCTGTATAGGTGATGAACTCTTTCCAACAAGATCTGGCGTATAGGGGGCCCTGTAAAGAGTCACCTTCCGTCGCTGCGTCGCCCTCGGTGCCAGCAAAAGTTCGTCCCTTTCTGGCGAAACTATATTTTCTGCATGGTCCAAACTGTAAGTACACAGGGTCAACATAAATAAACTCCCTTGCATTGAGCGACGCCGTTGCACCGGGTACCGTCTGCCAGCTCCACGCAGTGTGTCTCTGGCTTGAACGTGTCATCAAAGTTTTAGAACTTGGTGATGTCCGTGATGATGTGTGAGGTGGCTCCTGTGTCGACCATCAGGCCCTTCTCCTGTATGCTGCGTGCTGGCTGCCGCTGGACCCTGTTTTCTCCGTCTTTGATCCTGAAGACGTAATCTGCGTCGCCGCCGCCGCCATCTTCTTCTGAGACTTTTCTCGCGCCATCTTGTCTGTCTTTACGCCTGCACGTGGCGTCTTTGTGTGTGTCACTTTTGCATTGACTACACCATGTCTTCTGCCGACACACTCTTTTGGCTTTTGTCGTCTAAAAGTTGTATTAGCTCAGCATACGCGTCTGCATTTTTCTTGCCGTCTGCCGCTATCTCGGCTTCACTATCTGGTTCTCTTAGAATCGTGTTCTTTAACCCTAATAGGTGAAGGTGTCCTAACACTTTTGTCTCCCACAGTTCATACTTAGTTTCATCTCCGTCGAACATCAGTCGAGGCAACCTGCTTGTCCCTCGATGAT